GGAGCTGTGGAGGAGAGGCCAGAGGATGGATCCAGCGCTGCCCCTGCCAGCAGCTCCAAGCACCTCTGGCTGGTGGGTTCTGGGGACACCAGAGAAGCATGACTGTGGGCACAGGGCAGCCTGGCACGAGGACACATGGTGGCTGGGGAGTCCTTGTGCCAGAGATACTCTGCCTGTGCCAGGGATGCTCTGCCTGTGCCAGAGATGCTCTGCCCATGCTCAGAGGCTCTGCCCTGGCACAGGAGTGCTCTGGACCGTGCCCTGTGCCACAGTGCAGTGTGACATTCCCCATCCCACAGGAGTTCAGCCACCCTGTGGAGAGCCTGGCCCTGACTGTGGAGGAGATGATCAACGTGCGCAGGGTGCTGGTCAAGGCTGAGATGGAGAAGTTCCTGCAGAGCAAGGAGCTGTACAGCAGCCTGCGGAGGGGGAAGGTGGGAATGGGGACGGGGCCTGGAGGGACTGGGGGTCATGCATCCCCACCCACCCCCAGCTCACCCTGCCCTGCCCACAGGTCTGCTGCTGCTGCAGGGCCAAGTTTCCTCTCTTCTCCTGGCCCACATCGTGTTTCTTCTGCAAGCGGTGAGCACTGAACTGTGCCAAACTGTGCCATGCTGTGCCGTGGCACGGGGCTGGGAGGGCAGCAGCAGGGTCCCCACAATGGGCCCTCTCACCCACCTCTCTCTGTGTCCCCAGGTCTGTCTGTAGCTCCTGCAGTCTAAAGGTAAGGGACAGGCTCTGGGCAGTGCCACTGTGTCCCTGTCCCTCTCCTACTCCATCTTCTCCCCCTTCCTGCCCCATCCCACTCCACTCCTGTCCCACCTTGTCACTGTACCTATCTCTGAGCCATCCCCACCCCTCTGTGCCCTTGTCCCTGTCGCTGTCCCGTCCCGCCCTGACTCCCGCATCCCGCAGATGAAGATGCCTTCCAAGAAGCTGGCTCACATCCCCGTCTACGCGCTGGGCTTCGAGAGCCTGCCGGGCTCGCTGCTGCCCAAGGCGCCGCCGCTGCGCCGGA